ACACTTTCAGGTTCTTCAGATGATCCTTCTTCTGTACTGTTTCCAGTTTAAGACCTTCTTGTGTGCCTCAGTCTTTCATACCTTCACTGTATCTTTTGTATTGTTTTGTGTCTTGTAGTGAATTTTAGAAAGTACTTTTCATCACTTTTAAAAAATTGTTAAAACATCCCACGCCAGCTTTGGTTTTAGTTCGATTGGTTGTTTGTTTTGGAATTGTGAGCTATTTTGTTCTGGTTATAAGCAAGGCATGTATAACCATGTATACAAAATGCATCATTAGAAAAGCAACTACTTCCTGGCACAAATATACTGGTGCACACGCGAATTCTTTTTGCACCTTCATCTGTGAGAGTCCAAATCTTGGTTCTTTCTTTAGATGAAAAACTTAATTTGTTCTGATTTCTGAGTTAGTTGACTCACACCTGCTCAGAACCTGAAGTTAGTGAAGGTTCTTACCTAATAATCAAGTCTACGTTTTGTCCCAGGACTTCCTGTTCCTGGCAACATCTGAAAGCACCCTTCAGCCTGTACTTTATCCAAAATGCATGGAACAAGCTCTAATTCACAGCTGTTGAGTTAATACTTCCTCAGTCAAGTGCTTTCTAGTGCATAGTTTTTTTGGACACCCCTTGTATAGCTTTCCTTTGTTGTCAAATTTCCTCCCTCATGTTTGTCACAGGCTGGCCGAGTTAGCCAGAGAGGGCTGCTCCAAACAAAGAACTACTCTGTACAGGAATTTTGGCAGGGATACTTCTCTAAAGAGTCTCCTGAGATAAATGCAAAACATTTTTCTCATATAATGTAATACAGTGTTTCTTTCAAGAGCTCTGAGAGTCATAGTGTTCACTTCAAAGTGTCAGCATCGATGCTCGTGAACTTGGAAGAGCAGACTGGCAATCTTTTGTAGTTGTCTCCCTAGTTCATCTTGGTTTTACATGGCCTAAATACAGTCACGTAAAGTAAACATGCCTAGCAAGTTCCTCAACCATAACCTGTGATATTTATTCTTACAAACTTTCTTAAGATTATCCTGCAGAGATAGGTTTGGGTTTGTTTTTTCTCATGAGGCAGTTTTTTTCTTCTGAATCTAAAAATACTAAAATGGATGTAGAAAATTAATTTACTTTGACTGCGTCCCTCTACATGCATATTTTTTCTACATAAAATCCCACTGGTGTTCTGGAAAGGCCTTGTTCAAGATTGATAGTGATTTACTTAATTTGTTGACTTAGTGAGGAAATCAAGCTCTTGAAGTTGACTGGAACTGCCAGAGTAAAATTCGTCCTCAGTAGTAATCTTTGGATGACACAGGGTTTTGGAGAAACTGGTTCAGTGTGATATGTTATCAGTCCTGTATTCATCCCATGTTAGTTCCTGAGACTAGTGAATAGATGGATGTTAAGGTATCGAACAGATTTATTTACTATTGCCTTTGTAGTGCTTGGATGCAAGTCAGAATGTAGACATTTTGAACACCAAATAACTATTTTTGTTTCCATGGATCACAACCCTTTCTTACTTTTAGTGTCTGAGAGAAATGTTCCTTCATCTCTTGTGTTAAAATCTTTAATTTGTATCAGTTAAGAAGATTTGGGCTTTTGTGGACAGGGAATTCTAATGTTCAGTCATCCTGTTTTTCTTTTTTTTTATTTAGTCTCTTTCTTCAAGGTAGTGTCTCTTCCAGACCTTCAGAATTAAATTAGCTACTGGCAAAGTCTTCACTTCTCAGACCTGCCCATATGTCTTTCCCCATGAAGTATTAATTTACCATGTTATGACTGTTGTTGACCCTCTAGCCATGTGCAGCTGTGAAGCTTGATAGCAAATGATAGCATGGATGGACCAGTAGTGTTTTATATCATAATAGAGAAATTCTTAAAACAAACTTTTAGTCAGAATATAATGGATTGCCCCTATAAATAAACCAGATTTAAAGAAAGAAAACTGAGAAAGCTAATTTCATTATGCTTCTCTGTAAGGATTTCTTTTCCTCCAGTATAGAACATTAGCAAGAATCTGACCTGCTCAGTTTTGGATCCCCTCTCTATTTGAAAACCCATATTAAACCACATGGTGTGGGTAACTGTCTAGCAGCAGTATGATTTGTTTGCACCTGTTTTGAGTGTGGTCATGGTATGTTGTTGACAGGAACATTGACGTGGCCCAAGGTAGTGATTACAGAATTTCATCTAGATGATGGTGGCACCAGAATTCTTGCTTCTGTTCATATTTGGAAGAGAAAAAAGTTGCTTGGACAGCATTTGCAGATGCAATAAGAGAAGCACTCTGATTTTCCAGATTTATTTGGAAGAACACCATTAAGATTCTTGTGTGTTGAAGTCCTAGAATATTTACACCTTCAGATGATACCTGTTTATGATATTTTCAAATTGATGGTAGTTTCCCAAGAAAAATCTAATACAGCTGACAAAAAATTTTAAGACATTGCTATATGTGGGAGCTGCAGTATACAAGCTGGAATGTAATTGCTTGTGGTTTTATGTCTTTTTAGGTGCCTGTGGTTCATGCTTGAAGTTTTAATGACAAAGAATGAGAACAATAGCCATGCCTTCATGAAAAAGATGACAGAAAACATCAAGCTCACCCGAGATGCTCAGTCTCCTGATGAGCCAAAGGCCAATGAAGTAAGAAATGCAATTCAGATAAGTGTTGGGTGATGGGCTGAAGGTTTCACAAGCAGTTGATGAACAGGATTTGCAGGAAATATGAAAGCACTGGCTCAGACATTTTTATGGTCTTCTAGAGAGAGTGTTAATTGTGAATGTTGTCTCTGTGTTGCCAGTTTCGTTCTTTCAGAACCTTGCTGACCTTATCGAGCACATGATGCTCGTTAATGAAGTTAATAAAATTTGTTAAATATTCCTGTCACTGCCTGCCTGCCTTATTTTAACGCCTACTGCCTTCTTTCCCGACATAAAGATCTTCTGCTGTCGGGGAGGAGACACGGTATTATGGCCACTGTTAAACCTATTCCTTTCTAGCAGAGATGAGAAACCATTTATGGTGACTGGATTGAGCAAGAGCTTCTATTGTATAGTATAGGCATGTAAAGTAATACTAGTTTTTATTAAATAGTATTATATGAAAAATGGGGACTTGTGTTTGAAGAGCCAACAGTGTGATTAATGATGTAACTACAAAATATGTCCTTAGTGGTGGTTAACACACAGATTAAACTTTTTAAAGCACTACATTCTCTGTATACTATAAAACCAGTAATTCCTAAAGCATGCTTCTCTTTTTTTATTCAGAAACTTTATACAGTATGTGATGTAGCACTATGTGTAATCAACAGCAAAAGTGCTTTGTGCAACGCAGATTCACCCAAGGACCCTGTACTGCCAACCAAATTTTTTACACAACCCGAAAAGGTAAATTTGTTGATTTCATTTCCAAAGTAATAAGAGAAAATACTTCAATTTTTATAATTGAGAGATGGTTATCTCGACAACATAATACTGTGAGTGGGAAAAGGCATGATTTTTATCCTAATCAATTCATTTTTTAACATCAGTTGTACACTATGCTATGTATGTATTATGAATGTGCACAAAAAATGTTTGTAAGCAGGTGGGAGCTAATTCCAGTTACATATTGCTAGATCATTTCATTGAAGTTTTACAAATGCATCTGGACATATGAGAGTATATGTATATTCTGACTTGTATATCTGAATTAGCATGCAAAGCAGACAGAAAAGGGAACATTTTTAATGGTGTCCATGGTACATTTATATCTGTCATTAGCTGTTTGGCTGTTTTGCTTGCTGTGCAAGTTGGTTCTCTTACTGCCTAGTAATAGTCTGGGCAAGTACAGCTCTGCTGTCAGCCATAGCAATACTATTCTTCAAGAGGTGCGCTTCTAAAAAGTCTAAATGGAACCAAATTAATTATCTGGATCAAACCTGATGTTTTGGTTGTACTGAAGAACAGATTTAATTTTTTAGTGTCTTAGAGTGTTAATTTAACAGCCTTTCCAGAGTCTGTTTAAGCAAAATTTAGTTTGCTTATTTAATTGTGAAATGGCAGATGCCATGGTAACAGAGAGCTGATGTCTGTGATAGCTACCTGCATTCAGAGTTGGTGTTTTGGTCTCTGTAAACCCTACTCAGAGTGACAAACAGATCAATTTTCAACTTGTTTAGAGAAAACAACATATCTTTTCCTCTCTTTGGACTTCATTCTCTAAAAAGATGCAAGTGGAAAAAATAGGGAGGCCAGTTTTTCTTAATTTCAAACAGTCCATGTCATTCAAGAAGAAAAAAACGTTAATACCAACTTCAGGTATGGCATACTGTCATTCAGTAATGCTCGCTGCAGATCTCAAAAATACTGGTTTTATTAGATTGATTAACTTCTTGTCAGCAAGTTGCATGATGAGCTACTTGACAGTACCACCTAATCTGAGAAGTCAGTCGTGTATATATAAAAATCAACAGCAAGATTGATAAATCAAACACAAACTTTATTTTTTATTTAGGATTTCTGCAATGACAAGAATTACATTTCAGAAGAGACAAGGGTTGTTCTTTTGACAGGAAAGGTACTGTATTTTGACAAGTTACATTTCTTTCAGTATGACTTGCAGTTTTTCTAAATGCCTTGGACTGCTGTACTGTCAAAAATATTAAGAATTTGTGTGCAATAATCTATGATTCTTTTATTTGATGGTATAACATCTTTAACGTACAACCTTGTGAGTACACAACACAAAGATGTTACCTGTGTACTGAGTCATAGGTTCTTGATTAACTGCAGTTCTTCGTGGAATTACAGGTTTTTCCATTACTCAGACAAGCATGGCATAAAATTATGATGCAGAAACTGAATTGTGACACCACTAGCATTGGAGCTCTTTAGTATTTATATACATATTAATATTTACAGAATTAGTAATATTTGTACAAACATAAAATTTCATTTAATATTATTTCAATTTTAATGCTTTTAATATGGCTGTTAATGCTGTTAAATTCAACTGCAAATGTCTACACCCTTTTGAACACTCATTTTATTTCAGACATAATTTGGCTGATACCTTCACAGAGGAGAGAAAATACCCGAGGGGGGGAGGGCACACAACAACAATAAAATAATATAAACAGAATATTTTTATACGTTATACCGTCAACTGCCTTTTCTTTAGGTTCTGAAACAGCCTTTCCTAGGTGCTGGTTAAATTACATTGGAATGCTCTTTAGTCTAGCTCAAAAAAGCTAGCAGGGTTATTTTCTTGAGCTTAGTGGAAGAATGCTGGCTGACCCTTAAAATATAAAAACGCTAAGAATATTGTAAATCATGGTTTTAATATAAATTCTGTTTGCATTTTTTAATTTTCATGTTCTGTGTTCCATGAACTGTTACTGCATAAGTTCATAAAGTCTTCAGTTAGAGCAGAACTTTGTGGTAATTGTTCATTGTAAGAGCAGAGACAAATGATCACTCTGTAAATAGCCATATCATCTAAAGTTGCTTCTTCTCACAGCAATTTTTCATTTATACAAAACATTTCTGTCATCAGAGCAGTTTGTGTGGGTGAGGTTTGCTCAGCTGGCAGAATCGTGCCTCTCCTTGCTTCATGTTCACACTGTGACACCAGCCTGGATGCTACCCAGTGAGCTGAGTTGGAGTTATGTTAGGAATGTAGGAGGCAGGCAGAAGACAACCTTCTGTAGTACCAGTGCTGGTGCTTTAAATATCCTCAGAAGAAGGTATCTGTCTGCTGTTGTAATTGTTTCACCTTTGACAATCTTCAAATATAATGAATGAAGCATTTGAAGCAACTTTATTTGGCTGTGTAAACTTGCTGTATTTCTCTTTTGACAAGGCATTCGGCAATGTTAGACTAAAGCTAAGTCTTAACTGAAATAATCTTACTGCAGGCTTCTCTACTGCATTCTGACAAAACAGAGTTAGACTCGGGGGGTGGCAGGTCCCATGCCAAGCTAGTAGTATTTTAGGTAATCTTCAATATTCTGAGAAAAACAGACTTACACAAACACGTGCTTCTTTTTCTGTCTAATTCCACTTCAGAAAACGCAGGTGTGTAAGTGTACCCCACTGACTCAGACCAATGGTCCTTTTTGGCCTGATATTGTTTTTCCAGAGGGACCAATACATGATTAGGGAGATGGTGCAAGTCCAGCCAGTTTCTGCAGTACATTCCCATTCTTGCTTCCCAGCATTTGTTTTTATGATGGGATGCTAGATTTTGTGTCTGTACCTGTTGGGTTTGTTACCTGCTTATGGACATATTTGCAAATTTATCTGCTTTGGTGTGGAGCCTCCTGACACTGTCTTCACAACCTTTTATGGCAGTAGGTGCTAGAAATCTGCAACCTGCTGGTTGCACAGAAACTCTCTTCTTCTCTCTCCTAGTAGCTGTGCCGAATGCTTCCTACTTTTTATAAAATATTCGGTAAACTGAGCAAATAAAATGTTATAAGAATAATATGTTTAAGTAAATGTTGTGTAGTATTATTAGCACTTGGATGATGCAGCTGCTGACCATGTGCTCATTAATAGGCTGTTCTATAGAGATTGTTGCCTTTTTTTGCTAACCAAATGTTTTCCAGCATCTGTGGTATGTCTCTCCTGCCTGCTCCCTCATAACTTCCACATGTGGGAATTACTTTTTCTTGTGGGAGTGTCTTAATAAATTAATTTCGTCTCTGAGGAAATCTAAAATTACATGAAGAATGTGACATGCCAGTTCTGTAAACTTCCTTGATTCCTCTCCAGAGACAAAATAAAAAAATAACCAAATGTTTTCCAGCATCTGTGGTATGTCTCTCCTGCCTGCTCCCTCATAACTTCCACATGTGGGAATTACTTTTTCTTGTGGGAGTGTCTTAATAAATTAATTTCGTCTCTGAGGAAATCTAAAATTACATGAAGAATGTGACATGCCAGTTCTGTAAACTTCCTTGATTCCTCTCCAGAGACAAAATAAAAAAATTCCTAGTCAACAGACAGCAGCCACAGCAAGATCTAAAATACCATTGCTGTATCTGAGAACCCCAGAGTAGAGAGATGGTATTAAATATTTTTACACTCCCTTTCTGTATAGTAACAATGATGACATCTCATACTGTTGTAGAGCACCCAATTCTGTGTTAGATCTTGGAAAGCCTTTCCCAGAGGTGTTTTGTTTTGCAAATACAGGATTTTAGAAACATAGAAGTTGAAAGGGTGAAATAAGAGTCATCAACTCCAACTCCCTCACAGGATTACCTAAAACTAAACCATATAATTAAGAGTGTCATCCAGATGCTTCTTGAACTCTGACAGGCTTGGTGTGGTGAACATGTTCCTAGGAAGCCTGTTCCAGTGAGTGGCCACCTCCTCTGTTAGGAACCTTTTCCTAATATCCAGTCTGAACTTCCCATGATGCAGCTTCATTCCATTTCCTCTTGTCTTATTGCTGGTCACCAGAGAAAGGAGATTGGCATCTCCCATGCCACTGCTGTCCTTGAAGTTCTAGACTGTGATGAGGTCACCCCTCAGCCTTCTCTTCTCCAAGCTGAATAAAACAAGTGACCTTGGCTGCTTCTCATAAGTTGAGGCCTTTTGCCATCTGATTTCCCCTCTTCTGGATACACACTAATAAGAGTTTGATGTCCCTCTTATATTGAGGTGCCCAAAACTGCACACAGTCCTTGAGGTGAGGCTGCACCAGAGCAGTGTAGAGTGGGACACTCACCTCTCTTGACCAGCCAGCTATGCTGTGCTTGATGCACTCCAGGACACGACTGGTCCTTTTGGATTCCCAGGGCACATTGTTGATTTGCATTTAAGTTGCCTTCAACCCAGACACCCAGCAGGCCTGCTCTTCAGACTCTTATCCTTTAATTTGTACATTTAACCAGGATTGCCCAGTCCCAGGTGAAGAATCAGGCACTTATTCTTGTTAAATTTCATAGGACTAGTGACTGTCCAGCTTTCTGGTTTATCTAGATCTCTCTGTAAGGCCTCTCTACCACAGAGGGAATTCACAGCTCCTCCTAGTTTAGTTTTGGCAGCAAACTTAATGTATGTTTTGACTCTTGAGTCTAGATCATTTATAAAAACAATAAGGAATGGAGGCCCTAAAGCTGACCCCTAGGGAACCCCACTGGTGACTGGCCACCAGTCTGATGTAACCCCACTTACTATAGCCCTTTGAGCCTGACCCATCAGCCAATTGCTCACCCAGTATATTATGGACTTGGATAGCTGTGTGCTGGACAGTTTATCCAGAAAGATACTGAGAGAGAGAGTATCAAAAGCTTTGTTAAAATGCAAACCCACCACTTTTACTGGCTTCTCTTGGTCAACTAGATGGGTGACCTCGTCATAAAAGGAAATTAAGTTGGTTAAGCGGGACCTTGCCTTGTGGACCCTCACTGGCTATGACCAATGACTGCATTGTCTCAAGTGTTTTTCAGTAACTCTTACAATAACCTCCATAATTTGAGCAGGCACTGAAGTGAGACTGGCAGGCCTGTAATTACCAGGGTCTTCCTTCGTAACCTTCTTGAAAACTGGGACATTTGCAGTTGACTGGGATGTCCAGACTCCCAAGATCATCAAAAGATAGTGGAGAGAGGTCCCACAATGACATCAGCCAGCTCTTTCTGTACTCCAGGGTGAATCCCATCATGCCCCATTGATTTATGCATGTCCAGCTGGAGCAGCAAGTTTTGAACAAGTTCAGGGTCATCTGGGAGAGCTCATCATCCCCCAGGTCATGGTCTTCCAACACAGGCCTCTGGGGGTCCCAGGGCACATCATCAGTGCTGGAGACAAAGGTGAAGAAGGCACTAAATGTCTCTGCTCTGTCACCTCCGATTTGTGAGGTGACCAACCTCGTCAAGCAATAGCCCAGTGTTATCTCTGATCCCTCCTTTTGCTATTAACATATCTTAAAAAGCCCTTTTTTTGGCCTTCACAGTGCTGGCCAGCTTGAACTCTATATCAAGCTTTGGCCATACAATTCTTATCTCTACAGTAGCAAACAGCATCTCTGTAGTCCTCTCGTGTTGTTCAAAGTCCATACGCTTTACTTCTTCACCCAAGTTCTCAGAGGAGATCCCTGCTCAGCCAAGCTGATGTTCTGCCCCTGTTGTTTGACTTGGACACTTTGGAATTGCTGCTCCTGCACTCTTAAGAGATGGCTTTGAAAAATTGACCAGCATTCATGGACCCTAGTACCTTCAAAAGCAGATTACCTGGAGACCTTACTAACTAGCTACTTCAGCAGCCTGAAGTCTGCAGTCCTCATCTCCAGGGTCAAAGTTTTGATGGAAGTTTTTCTCCTATCACCAACGATTTGAAACACAACTGCTTTGTGGTCACTGTGTTGAAGATCAGCCACTAACCACTAGTTTGCCCACAAATCCCTCTCTGTTTCCAAACAGCAAATCTTGGAGGCTACCATTCCTAGTCGGCTCCCTTAGTATCTGCACCAAGACATTATCTTCAGCATGCTTCAAAAATTTTCTGGACTTACTTGTCTCTGCTGTATGATATTTGCAGCTGATATCTGGGAAGTTAAAATCACCTGCAAGGACAAGGGCAGTTGACCTAGAGACATCCCTTAATTCCTTGTAGAATAATTAATCAATGTTGTTGTCCTGACAGGGTGACCAATAGTAGACTCCCACAACAACATCTGCTTCATTGGCTTTCCCCTTCATCCTTACCCAGAGGTTCTCAGTCGTGTTGAGACTGAAAGGATATTTCTACATCCTTTCAGTCCTCTAATATTGCCTAACATTCTGGCTTTCATTGAGACTTTTCCAGCTTCTGTCCCTTCAGAGCATGAGAGAGATCAGGACAATTGATGAAGTGGTGTTAAATTATAAGAAATAATAGTAGGATAGTCAGTGGTTTTAAAGTAAAAGTGATGTCTGTAGCTCTAAACTGATGGCACTGTGATTGAGACTGTTAATGCAGAAAAAGTATTTTAAAATACTGAGGAAAATATTTTAAAAATTAAAGATGTATCTGTTTTTTAAAAAAATTAAATATTTTCTTCTAGCCAAAACCAACTGGTGTATTAGGTACAGTAAACAAACCGTTATCTGCAACTGGAAGGAGACCGTACATTAGAACTACAGGATCGGAGACTGGAAGCAATCTCAGTGTAAACTCTGAGCTGAGCTCTTCTGCAGGAAACAGGTCAAGGTACAGGAGTGGGACATTTCTTTCATCAGCTCTTCACTTTGTGTTCTCCAGTGTGCCTGGATGTTTTAGGACGGGATGATTTGGGTTGCGTGCCTGTGTGTTTGAAGAGTGTCTTTATTTTGTCCAGTTTTAAAAACATGTAATTGTTCTCTATATGTAAAATATCCATCTTGGCTTTTTTTTTTTTTTCAGTAGGCAAAAAATTCAGTGCAGTGCTGAGATGGGGCTTGCCTGTAATTTACATAGAATGCAAGAGAGGAGATACCATGCCATCTGAAATTGTGGAGATTAATACGCAGAAAATATCTTAATGGAGGGGACTAGCCATAATTAATACTAAACAGATTTTGCAACTCTCACATTTTTGATGCATGAATTAGAGTTAACCCTGATTTGTAACAAGAAACATTTTTTATATAGATGAAATATTCTGACCTCTTTAAGTTTAAGAACAAATGAAAAAAAAACTTGCTGAAGAGGACCAGGACCTTAGTGGAAAGATGCAGTATATGATTGTAATATATGGTCTCTCTTCTAGTAAGTGTTATTCTTATGCGGATCCAGCGTTTTTAAATTTGTCAGAAATCTGGAGAAACAGTTTACACTTTGAAATTTTATAGCTGTTTAAGTCATTTTGAAATTGATTAACTGGCTACAATAAAGGGTTAAAGAACGTAGAGGAAGTTAACTCTAGTTTCTGCATTTTTTAAGGCCAAAGGGAAGTATAACTGGGTTCAGAATTTGTTCTCTAAGTATGCATGATATATGCTGCAATAATTGTGATTAATTTCCTAAACTGTTTTGTTTTAAAAACTGTTGCATGCTTGTGCAAATTAACTTGAATTTTGAGTGTTGCTTTATAGTCTTTATAGTATTTTCTTTTTAATTCATTACATTCACCAGTATCAGCTTTTTCTGTCTGGAAAAAGAACATGGCCCAGTTTAGAGCAGTGATATTAAGTTTGCAAAAACAATTATATGGTATTGTGCCTGTGATAAGGGATTTGGCTCAGTGACTGGGCAATCCCTTTCAGACCTTTCCCAGTTCTGGGAAAGAATATAAGTGAAAATGGACTCAGGCAAATTCAGTTGGTTTTTTAAAACTAATTTAGCCTGTCTGCACTGATCTATTTTTTTTTTTTTTTTTTTTTTTAAATATAATGGCAAACATTTTTTTCTTCTTTTTTGTATTTTGGTTTTATTTTGTCTTCAATTACTCTACCAGGGAACAAAGTTCGGACATATCAGAAACTGGAGTCAGTGAAAATGATGAAAATCCCGTGAGGATTATTTCAGTCACACCAGCGAAGACAGAACCTGTGAAAAATAAGGTATGTCTTGGGATCTTATGGACTATATCTCTGGCATTGGGATTTGTGCAGTTTATTTTGCAGTGCACATCACTGCAGGTGGTCTCTGACAAACTGGTAATGTTCATTTTCATATTATTTTCCAAGCCCAATGGAAGACTACTTATTTTCAAAACAACTATTTGCAAAGCAACTCTTTATTTTTATCCAGCATAATTAATAGAGCTCATGTGTTCAAAAATAGCACAGGCAAATTGGGAGGGACTTTTTTTTTTTCTTTAAAGTTCCAAAAGATTCCAAGCTTTAGTCTGTGTTTTCCAGTAACATCAAGAACGTCATTCAGAGTGAAGGTTGACACCTGTAGCTTTAACTGAAGATATTGCCAGGAAAGTGTCAAGTGGTCCTCTGACATAAAGATCTAACTTCTGGATTGTGTCAGAAGTAAAATCTTGTTTAAATTTTGAGGATTTTTAATGCTTTTCCCCCTTCCATTAGAGAGAAATGATGATGCCTAAATCTTAATGATTTTTTAAACTTCTAAAGCATACAATTACACAGAGTTTAACAAGAGTAAATGTGGAGTCCTGCACCTGGAATAGATTAAACTCAAGCAGCAGTGCAAGATGCTGGGATCTCCCTGGCAGGGCTGTAGGTTGGCTGGGAAGGACCTGGGGACCATCACCGTGGACAGCAAGAGAAGCACGAGTCAGCAGCGTGCCTGGGCAGCGGTGAGGGCAAGCTGGATCCTGGGCCACATGAGCAAAGGTGTAGCCAGCAGATGGAGGGATGTGATTATTCCACCCTAGTTGGGATTCCTTAGGCCACTCCTAGAATACTGTGTCCTCCCCAGTTCAACACAGATTGAAAAACTGGAGAGAGCTTTGCAGAGGGCCACCAAGAGAATTAAGGCTTGGAGAGGTTGTCATACGAAGAAAGGTTTAAAAGTGTTTAGTTTTTTCACCCTAAGGGAAAGAAGCCTTCTAATCAGTCTTTCAATATCTGAAAGGTATTTATGGAGAAGATGAAAGTATTCTCTTCTCAGGGCTGCATGGTGATGTGACAAAAGTCTACAGGCAGAAGTTGTTTCAGGGGAAATTCCATCCTACATTGTAAGGAAAATTAAACACTAGAATTGGTTGTCCAGAAAAGTGGTGCCATGTTGCTGTTCACAGCTTGGCTTGTCAAGATCCCTGGATAATAACCCCTGAGGCCCTGCTCTCAACAGGAAGTTTGACCAGATGGTGTCCAGAGGTCATTTCCAACCTAAATGATTCTGTGATTCTAAAATAAATATAGATTTTTGTAATAATGTAAGGATACACAGATGGCTCATGCTGTACACGTTTTAAGAAGTTATATATCTACTCAGTCTTTTTTGATGGGTATAAATCAGAGTGATAAGCAGGTGGTTTGTATTTGTATTGTCACACAGAAAAGTTCATTTTTTTCTTAATATTTAAAAAAAATCCACGTTTATATTCATACCCATGACCTGATGGACAAAAAAAATCTTTCCCAAATTTCAACATACATTTACTTTTTTGTTTCTCTTCCTCTAAAATAGGGGTCTTCTGAAAAGTTAGAGAAATTAGGCAAAGTATTTATTGAATAAATCTTCACAACTGTTTCCTAGGTTCTTGACACGTGTCTTTGGTTGACATTTTCAAAGAGTGGTTACCTGTGGAGTTCTTACGAACGGCAGCTGTACCTGGTTCTGTGTCAGTTATGAACCCGCTAGAGAAGTAATAAAGATTACAGAGACTGCCTGATTTATTTAAACATTTGAGAAATAATAGTAGCATTTTTTTTTTTTTTAAGATGTCCTTGTTTCAGGCACAGCATTTATAATAAGAGGTGGCCCTAACTGGTTGGTTAGGAATTGCTATGTTACCTCAGCCATACTTGTTCAGTACCCTTTTCTCTGCCCCTCCTCCTAATTGTTTTGGAAGCCAGTGTTCAGATGAAGGTCTAGCATCCATTTGCTTCCTCTTTGTTTCCCTTTCCCTATGAATGCATTTCTGTGTAGAGACCTGCATTGCCACCATCCTTTCTGTTCTTCATGTACAGACACTACTTCATGAAATTTCATCACTTCCATTACCTTTTTGAGTGACAAAACCACACGTGTAGGCCATACCTATTCAGGCAAGTTTTGTATGTGACTAGGTCTTGCTCCCATTATTCCCTGCAAGCCTGGTTTCTTTTACTGGCATCTAGGGCTTTAGTAATCTGCACCTTTACTGAAGGTGGGTCTGTTGAGGTAAATATAATTTGCTGTACCAGAATCATTAGTCTTCCTCCTTGATTCTGTCCTGTCGGTTGGCATCTCTTGTGTCAGTTGGCAAAGGTGTGGTAAAAGGAGTTTGTCCAGAAGAACCATCATGGGAGGAGCTGAGATGATTAGCCTTACTGTAATCTTACCTTCAAGCAACTAAAAGATACATTGGGTGCAGATACTGGCATTACACACAGTGTCAAAAATAAGTTGGCAAGGTTAATGTCTGATATACCATTTGGTAAACCTTTTTACTAGGTGCAAGACCATGTGATGTCTTTATAAGAACACTTACTGTTTGGTAAGCTCATATTTCTGTTGAAAAGGAGGTTTGAGTTTGGGAATTTTTTTTTTTTTTTCCTCTTCACATTCATGATTTTTATTTTCTAGGAAATTAATTCGGATCAGGCTACACAAGGAAACAGCACTGAGCGTGGGAAAAAAAGAACAGCAACAGCATCTGGAACTGAAAATATTCATCAAAAGCCAGAAGAAAAAAATGTAGATGAAACAGGACCATCACTCGCAGCAAAAACCAGGAGAGGGCGTGTAACCAAACCTGAACCTCAGGGTACCACTGCAAAAAATGAGGAAGCAAATAAACCACCTGTCAGAGGAAGAAAAAGGGCAGCAGTCAGTCAAGAAAGTTCAGGTAGTTTAGAGGCAGGTAATGCCAAAGCACCAAAACAGCAAGACACAGCAAAAAAGCCAGCAGCAGCACAAAGACAAATTGACCTACAAAGGTAAAAAGAAAGAAATAATAAAACCGGGTGGGGTGGGATGGGCCTTTCCTCTCCCAAGATGGACCCTGAGTTTACCACTGTACCAGATCTAACATAGTGAAGGGGCATAACTAAATCACAGTAATTTACAAAGGTCCACCATGTATTGTGTCATGTTCGGTTCTTAGAAGTAAGTATCAGGGCAGCTGGAATTGGAGATATGGGTTTGTCTGGTCAGAACAGGAAAATCTAACCTGTTTTCACCAGACTTTTTTTTTTTTTTTTTTTGCCTGTTGCATCCTGGTTGCCCTCACTAGCATTGCTGTGTAAAAGAACTGAGAGTTGAGTGTGTAAGGGCATTCGTTAAGGCCAGGTACCCAGGCATTCAGGTGCTCTGCTCAGGTTCATTGGTGACAAAGGCCTGAAAAGTGACTGTCTTTAATGAACAGAAGTAATTATAATCCTAACTGCAGTTCTTTTCCGGTATTTTGGGGTCTGTGCTTGTTAAATATTACAATATTTTAATATATGTTTTAAGTAAATCAAAAGCACAATTTGAAACTGTGTAAACTGCAAAACAGTTCTTTGATGGTAATTTATTTTTCTATACTCTAGTGTTCCCAGGTGTTGATTTGATTTCCAATATAAACAAACCACGAAAGCTCATAAACACAAAGAAATTTGTTCAGCTGAATCTGCTACAAGAACAATTTTAACACAAAAGTATCTAAAGTTGCAGAGCGATACTATAAGGCCAACAAACCACTTTGCTAGAAGAAAACACAAATAATCTAAAAGAAGAAAGAATCATTGGAATGGTTTCTTTCTAGTGATTTTCTAAATCGAAGATCTTGCAGAAAACCTCAGTGAAAAAAAATTACCTTTCCCTCTTGCAGCAAGATTCATCCACCAGTAAATCGTTCAGTCTTTCAAGAGAGTGATATTTATGTACTGCTTTGTAATGCTTGTTTTATGCATCACATTCTTTTAAGTTTTTGTAACAAATTGCACTATCCGTAGCCTTTAATAAGCTGCCTGTGTCAGATAGCTTCTTTAAAATATGAAATAGCTCAGTGTTTCTTGGGAAAAATACCAAAACATTGTTAACATTTTTCAGAAGCCAGGTGCTCGGAAGTGATGGAGATTCACTGTTGGAGATAGACTCAAGTCCAGAATGTTCCCAAAATGCCATGGATCTTTTTAAGGCCTGTGGGAGCAGCCAGGAAGATACTGAGGATACAGAGGGAGCAGAGGGAGGCTTCCTTAAGGTGTAGCAAGCATCTTATATAGGACAATTAGGTGGTTTTTTTATTGTAGCTTATACAGTAAGGAATCAAATAAATGTGTCCATCTTCCAGAAAAATGCATGCAAAAATAGCTGTCTGAGAGCAGGGTTTTTTTGCTTTTATGTAGACATGTGCAGTGTTACTGTGAAGATCTGAAAAACACTTGTAGCAGTGCTTGTTCTTAAGTTAAGACAGGCTATTTTTATAAACCTTGGTAATTAACTACAGTTATTTAGAACAAGTTACCGTTCTTATTCTGCGATTCCATCTTTCTATGGATAGATGTTTGGATACTTATGCTGAAAAAACGTGACTTAGTTATGGAATCACTGTTATTATTCAGTGTGTGTATTTCCAAGTTTATCAGGAAGCTGTGCTATACAGTAAGGAAATTCAGTTATGTTTGATGAAGTAATTGCTGAGAAGACACAAGATGGAGTGGGAAGAGTCACAGTATAAAGAGCCTTAAAAGCTATAAATGTGAATGATATAGGTAGGATTTTGATTCAGAATCAATTGTAATTTCCATGTCCTTATGATTAACTTTTATTTCCTTTTCTCCCCGCAAAAAGGTAAAAAGAAAACTTACTCGAAAAGGGAGGAAATGAAGGCCAAATAAAGGCATGCTCCAAGCTTCTGCAAAAACTAGGATTCAGAAATTTCCTGTACAGGAACTGAAATTACTTCAAAACACACAGCTTTCAGCTCTGAAACTAGAAGGAAAACTATGCTTCCCTTTCACGTGAAATTAACCCTTCTCAATGGAAATGTAAAGCAGAAACTCTTGAGAAAGAGGCTAAAAGCATCTGTACTTATTTCCCCAGAGACTTTTTTTATGAAAAGTCAATAATTAAGCAAATTGCTTAACACTTGGTTCCAGTTCCTGCATTCTGGAGTTTAAAAGTGTATTTACACCATTAATTTTCATGCTGCATTTTTTTTTAAGGAAAGTCAGAGGAGGTCCTTACACTGACATTGAAAATTCGTGATCCTAGAGCCAGGTATTCCCATGTTTCACAGAAAAAGTAGAAGTCTACTGAATGGATTTTAAACAAGACTAGAGGAGAAAAAAAAAAAAATCACAAAAAATTTTTTTTGCTTTACTTTTGGAGACTGTTTTATGTATAATTCTTTCTGCCTGCCTACTTTTCTGCAAAAATAAGATGTACAGATTTCAGTTCCCTGCTATGAAAAGTCATGTGGTGGCAATTTTATAAATGTTGCTTTCTGATTTTTATCAGAGTGGGAAAGTAATCACTTAAAATTATTATTAATTCGCAAGTAGACATTTCATTTTTTAATTTTCCCTCCACTTTAGTTTAATATAATTTGCAATAAATGTACATATTGATGTTTGTTTTATAAAAACATATATCACTTTTAAGTGTTTTTACTCCTGCAGTTCTGTTGGAATATTCTAAATTTTAAAGGAGTAAAGACAGTCCAGCATTTGATTTTATAATGTTTGTCACCAGATTTTTATTATTGATGTAAAGAAAAAAAAAATCAATTTTTAAAAATAGTTGGACTTTGGCAGCTTTGTAAGGAAAGTTGGAAATGTTTAGGATTGCTCTCAATTTTAAGCATTGTGCTGATTGGAAGTAAGTCTGTTTTGCATTTTGTCTTCCTGTCCAGGCTCATTTTTTAATGTTTATTTTAGAAGATTGTTGCATCAATATTATGTTTCCTGGCATTGTTCAGCATAGATACAGTGTACACTTTTATGTACACATGATCATATTTAAGTTTGTTGCATAAAATAAACGCTTCTAGGTGTCATGTGGCAGTCTTTTTTTTTAATTTTATTTTATTTCACAGAAAACTAATTGCAGTATCTGTGCATGATCTTGGATGTTCATAGAAATACTGTATTGAGCAGAGGTTGTAATGCAGACAGTTGTGAAGCTTACAAGACAGGGATATATTTTTTGGTGAAGTTACAGTGTTTTATCTTTCAAAGCTGTCTGGGAAGAGGGAGGTTGGTCTGCAGAGTGACAGTGAGCAGTTCACTTTGTTTCCCTGTGCCTCAGTTCCCAATTTCTCTTCTGCAAATTGTCCTGAAATCCCTTGACTCCTTCTAGAAGCACTGCATACTGTTGACGCAAGTTTAAGGATTATTTGCTCTCCTAAAATGAGTAGGGCGTGGTTGCGTGCTGTTAAACAATGACCAAGTCTCTCTTATCAAGGTTTTAACTGCTGCTAACAGACTTTTTTTTTTTTTTTTCCCCTCTGTAACACAGAAAACCAGACTCTTCACAGAGCAGTACACGCAACTCTTGCTCTAGAGCAATCTGTGATGCTTTGACTGAAGTATTTGAAATGCTTATCACAGGGGGACACTGGGAGATTTTAAAAGTGTTTAATTACACATCCATCCAGGTTTTAATTTCTAAAACTAAGCTATATGACAAGATGGATTTACTGATAGTAATGCAGGGGGTTTTAATGCTCTGGTCAAGTACTTTCCTTGTGCAAAAGTTTTGGTTTAAACCACTTTTAAAAATGTTTTTCTTAGAAGCTTTTAGGTGCTACATAAAAAAGAAACTCTCTTTTAGAAATTTGCTCTGGTACCTAGCATTGTGCCTCTGATGATTTGAAATCTGGACTTGAAAATTCTTGTAAATATTCAGAATTCTTTCCAAAAGCTTTGTTTTTTGTGCAGTGGATAATTACTGAGGTGTTTTTGTTTTTTTTTTTTCTTTCTTTTTTGGTCAGCTTTTAACTGGTTCAAATGTCAAGTTACTTAAGGAATCATCCTAAAATAATTTAGGTTAAAAGGGGTTTCTGGAAGTTCAGTGCCATGCTCAGAGCAGGGTTTTCAGTTGTCTTTGCGCAGAGTTACATAGAGTTCTTTTTTTAAGGGGGATATTTGAGTTACCTCTGTCTGTCGATTATCAGTCTGATTGGTGAAAATCGGGACATCCGTGCCACAAATTATGCTGGGCAAAAACGCAGCTTACAAACTACAGCCAAGATCTGCTGGTGGCCCACTGGTGTCTTTTCAGAACTTGGACCAGGCAAGGTTACAGACAGAATTTCCCTACCTGCCCCCTTTTACTTCCTCCCCAGAGTCCGGAGAGCATCTGTGGTACCGCTCAGAGCTGCCCCAGCGATGGGAATCTTGCTGTGAGAAGTGTCCCCCGAGGCCAGGTGTCAGTACAGCCGCCTCCCTTCTGACAGCACAGAGCTGAAACCAGCAGCCTTCGGAGTAAATACAGGGGGGTACAGGCATAACTCTTGTACATACATCATTGGTCCATTGCTAGTACTTCTGACTCCTTAAAAATAAATATCTATTAATGAGAAATCCATATAAAACCGGAATTGATGGCAGATTATTCAAAAAAAAGAAGGGTAGGGGGTTCGTACTTGGCCATATAGGATTTTTAAAATATTTTGCATAAGACTGGAGATTCATTCTCTCAGAAGAAAACTGACGTTCAGAGTCTTTCACTTGTTAATGTGTGATAAAGAATAAAAGGAAGCCAGATAAAACCCAGTCTTCATGGCTTCTATCCCATGTAGGATTTAAAGGTGCTGAGACTTCACTTTCAGTTACATACTTAGAGCTAAGTTCTCATCATCTTTTACGTTCCCATCTTCATAAAAGCGTGGCTTTGTTTCTTAGCAGAGATAGCTTTGCTTCTGTTTCTGTGTGTCCTCTGATGCCTGGACTGCACGGCTTCCGTAGCGGTCGGACAGGAAGGCGCTTCTCAGAACATACTTTGTAACGTCAGAAATTAAGCCTCTACCACTCAACAAAACTAAATCTGAATTGTTGTTTTAAATAATAATGTTTTCCAGAGCAATCTTAAACAGGAACAATAACGTGCGATGCCAATCTTTTCTGCACGTGCTGACAAGCCTTTAAATTTTAGAATGGATAAATAACAAATTCTTACCTAAAATGTACTGTCAGCCATTAGGTATTTAGCGCACTTTGTTGGACGGAGTTCAACATGAGCTTGGCTCTGGAGTTTCAAGTTAACTGATGGGGCTCTCGCAGCTGAACCGTCTCTTCTAAAGATCTGAAAAGATTTGGGATCACCAGAAATTTCCAATACACAAGAAATTCACTACTTTAAGAAACAATCCTTGTGGGTCTTGGTTCACTTGCATGTGTGCTCCATTACAACATTTATCAGCAGTAATAGTTTTGTTTGTGAACGGAAATTAAGTCCCAAATCAGTGCTCAAGGAAATGGCCCAAACTAAAGAAGCTAGACTTAAGAAGTCCACGTTCCAGCCAGGCTGCAGGTGTGTGTAGCTGATAACCAAGGATTAGTCACAGGGTAGCTGGTCTCAGCCCAAGGAATTGTATCTCAGTGCAGGAACAGGTTTAGGTGGGAATAATGAGGTGTTGAACAACAATTATCAAAGTCCTTCTATACAGCAGCATTTGATATGTCCCTTGAAGCCTGTCCCTCCTTAAATATCTGATAGGGAGGGAACCATCCTGTGGATGATTACCCCAGGTATGCAAATGGTCAGAAGGAAGCTCGAATAGTAAGATAAAATTCTCCTAAACCTCAAAGACCAACAGCAGCTTCTACTCCTGAGAGTTTTTAAGCCAAACGCTCCCTGGATCCATTTGCCTTGGTTCCTAGAAGGCAGCAAACGAGACAGGACTTCCTCAGGAGCAGAACTTGGAAGTCCTGGTACAGAAGCAGAGGTGGCGGCTGACAACCTTCCCTGCTGTACAGCCTGGGCCAGGAGAGTGGATCCAAAATATCTTACTCTGTAGTTTTACCACATGAGAGACCAAAGGGGGTAATCGACTCAGTTTCTCCTTTCAATCTCACGCTCTGTAATCTTCTGTTTCTAACTGGAGGTGGCCAGTCCCAAGGCTCTCGTCAGAGATTCCTTAGCACCGAGTCAATGTGGCGGCCCAGAGGGTGACTACTTTCACAGATGTGACTCACCAGAATACTTTGAATTCTGAGTAGGAACATCTCTCACTTGTGGCAAGTTCCCAGCCTTATTTTCTGCAGTCTGAAAGGAAATGAGCAAGTTTTTGGCATTTGCAGCTGCTTGATGAGTAGGACCAGAGCAAAACGTTGGTTCAGACTTGGTTTCAGTTGAGATAAACTCCACTTCACTCTGTCTACAAAAGCTGAAGGAGCAGCTATGCTTGCTCCAGTAACTGGTAGGAGCAGCGTTGCACTCGAGCTCAGTTCAAGTGATGTGATGAAGCTCAGATGTGAGCGTGTTCCTCGGAGCCTTGGTGTCACTCACAGGTGCTTGACACAAACTGTTCATGAAGAGTGACTGGAATTACTGCCTGCAACATGATACCATTGCCTGGGAGGAAGTCCTCCTGCTAACCTGATGGAAAGACTTTTCTGACTCCCAACGGAGCAGGTTTCTGCCTAGTGGAGGTCATGACAGACTTTTCATGGAACTGTTTGACTGTGCAATAGCTGGGTGTTACAAGCCAACAGGAGGAAGCGTTCAGACTCATGGTGACCCCTTTAGCTTTGTCAAGAAATGATTCTACGAAGCCTTTCAACTTGGAATGTGGTGGATTCATCAGTAGCTCTGCAGCTAGATCCGTGGTCAGCAGAGCCAAGACATCCATGGGCAGTACAGATGGACAGTGCAGCTGCGTCCTGTGCGACCTGCTGAGGAGGGCCAGCCATCAGAAGACCTGCCCGCTGTTCGGTGGGAGCACAGAGGTTACTGGAGCTGATTTGTAACTTACTGAAGTCACACTGGCCACAGCGTAGCCCCAGCAGCACGTCAGCTTTGGCAAGAAGTGTGACTAAGTCACTTTGCGTACACCGGGCGTCCTCCTCCCACGACAAGTCTGTCATTTCAACAGCCACAGGAGCTCAGATGTGTGTTCGTAACGCTGCGAGGCGGGCGCGCTCCAGAACAAGAAATACACGTTCTGCTCCCTCAGTTCAGGCGTTTCAGTCCCTCCTTGCCCTGGAAGTGGAGATCGATGTCTGTTGACCCTGAGGCACCAAAGCGTCTGAAGCAAGATACGGCGGGTGATTGAGGCCGAGCTGCTTTGGTGTTGGGTGCAGTTGCTGTAAAGCAGGTGGGTGGTCACTCTGTTTTAGAACCTTCATAGGTGATAATCTGATAGGTGATAATCTGATTTCTTACCTTGGCATGGCACAGTTGCAACAGCCAGCATCTGGCTGGGCAGCAGGTGGTGGTCTGACACTGTACCCTGAGGAAAGCTGGGATACTCAGAATATTTTGCCCTGTGGTGCAAGTGAAAACTCAAAATAACACCATTTTCCTTGCTATCTATTCAGGTGGTTCTGTATCATCCACATCAGTGCTGCTCCCAAAGCAGAAATGAGGTGGGCTTACACTAGTGGCAGAGGGGTGAGCCATGGGTCTTCTCAGGAGGTTTACGTGCACGTGCAGAGTGCCCTCCGTGGACGCTGCACGGCTCCCTGCTGCCCCCAGATAAGCTCTTCTCCACTTCCTGTGAAATTAGGAGAGGTTGTCACTACCCAAGTAATTCATGCCCTCTCCTCTGGGCTGCTTCCACACTGGAGTGTCCCCAGGAAAGGATCGTACATGGATAAATTATTCTGGATGGTGGTAGCAGCAATCACTGTTCATCCTTCCTCATGCTGTTACACGGGGACAGGATTCAGGCTGGGAGATGTACAGGGAAGCCACTCTGCAGACCCTGGGAGTGGATGTGACTGCAATAGCTCCATACCTTTCCCTAGCACCCTTTCTTGTCCTCTTTGCTCAACCTTCCAGCTGTTCTTGAGGGCCCTCATGGCTGTATCCATACACACCTATACACCATGT